GCTAGTGGTCCGAGCCGCTGCCTCTGCCGTTGCTGCTGCTGCTGCTGCTGCTGCTGCTGCTGCTGCTGCTGCTGCTGCTGCTGCTGCTGCTGGGGCCTCGCTCACGGTCGGCCAGGGAGCCAAAATGGATTAGGCGGGAGACCTTTGTGAAACTCCATTAAAACGTGGTTAATGCATCGCTATTCACTTTCCGAGAAGTGTTTACTTGATCTAGCACATCATGGACTCACGACGACGCGGCGGCGAGAGCGCTGCTCCCCGCGGCAAGTGACGGAGTACAAAACCCGATGGCAAAACAGTCTTACCTGCATCCAGCCCCCATTATCCGCTAGAGCAAACTGCTGGCTCAACAAGGCCCACCGACCATTCATAAGGGCCGAAAGAATGGGGAGAAAGCTCGCAAAATGTCCGCTGATTTACCGGCGAGATTTTGGCGACTCTTTTTGGACGGTCCTGTGTCATCTTTGGCGGGGCGAGGAAGGGAGATAGTGGTGGCCATAGTGGCGTAACCTCAGTGGGGAACATGGGCTCCTTTCAGAGCGCATAGAAACTTTGGTCCGGGCCAGCACCTGTGTCGGTCTAAAGACAATGCGGTTTACCTCCTCTTTCCGGTGATAACCCTTTTTCTCGCGTTTAAAACTGGGCTAAGCGTGCTTGGTAGGGCGGTAGGCAACACACCTAACGTTTTACACTCGAGGTTCCTTCCGCTCCAAACAGCGCTCCCACCTCCCACTGCCGGTCGGCGAGGAGCCCCTGCGAGGCGGGCAGCCAGCACGCATGAGTGTGCGAGTGTTGCCTACCCCACAGGCTGTGAGGACGACGAGCGCGGCGAGCAAGCGAATATGCCGCCCACCAAACCGGGAATTATTTTGAAATTTGCCAAAATTATAGCCGAATTTAGCACTTTAAAAATATCGGATGATTAATTACTTTTAATAGTACTGAAATTGAACAATATATAATTGCCACGTTAGATAATTAACTAAGCCGCTTTTCTTGAGTGCCTCGACGATTCATTCTTTCTGCGTAGACTTTTATTCTTAAATCTGATGTCTCTTCTATATTGAACAAATTATATGAAAGCCCTGTATGGCCCATAGAGCGGAGAGTGGCGCCCTCTAGCGGCGAGGCTGCGAAGCACAGAGGCGATACCCCACGCGCGGTGGCTCTTGTCTGCTCGGACCGAATACCAATGATGAACGGGTGAATGTACCTTCGTGCGTTCACATCAAACAGTACTGAAATTGCTGGTATAAATTTTCTGATATATGTTATCGATTTTTAGATAGTCCCCAGGGGCTGTCTCTCACCGAAGGTGAAAGTTTTCAGTTTTGACGAGTTTATATAAGGACGGACGATTTACGTTCCCGTTTTTTTTTTGTTTTTTTGTTTTTTTTTTTTTTAAACTCTTTGGTTTAAAACGTTTTCAAGAATGCACCGATAAACTAAGTGTTCAACTGCTCAACACTTGTAAGTGTACAACTGCAAGCTAAATACTCGCAAGTGTTCAACTTTGCAGTCGTGCACTTGCAAGTATGATCAATTCGGTAGGTGTGCACTTGCAAGTGCGTGCAACTCCTACCCCTTTAGCTCTTCCTACACAGTGACCGTTAAATGTAAGGAAGTGTTCAACCGAGGAGTTGAACACTTGCCAGTGCACACTTACCGAGTTGAACACTTGCAAGTATTTAACTTGCATGAGTTACACACTTAGAAGTGTTGAGCAGTTGATCACTTGGTTTATCAGTGTGTGATTTTCGGAACATTTTTCATCTACTTTGACAAAAGAACTCGAAATAATCTCTTGGAAACATCACGTGTACGTTGCAGTAGGGATCCCCATTGCCATTGGTTGTATACTTACTTTACTGGATGGATACAAGGCATGCGGGCGGACTAGCTTGCGTGCTTGCGGCTTTACGGCCCAGTTCGACAGGACGCAACCCATCTGCACGCCTGCATCTGGTGTAGTATCGCCAAGAGAGAGGATGAGCCAACCTGCATTGGCTGCAAAAATATCGTAGTAAATCTACAACAATTGTTGTTATTTACAAAATGTCTTTGAAATTTGCTACAGCATAGTCGTGCTTGTCTATTTATCCCATCTTGATACGAGCAATAGTCGGAAAAAACTCGAGAACAAATTGAGCTAGTGACTTGAAATTTTCAGGGTCGTTTTGTACCATATAAAGATCGAGTCCAGAAATAGGTATTCCAACTCAAAAATTGGATTAAAAAAAATAATCAAAAACAACAGGTCCTAAAAATGACGTTTTTTGTAAATAATTTTATACTGTTTCCTAGGGTCTAACTCGTCCCAGTAGAACCTTTGGACTAAACTTTTGTCCGTTGTGCTTTATCTCATACCGCTGAGGTGCTAGAGGGAATATGTATTTGCGAATATTTGGCGATAATAATTGAAAAAATACAACCCTGCATGCTAAGTCGTAGGAATAGTTCTCAAATTGAAATGTAGGTGAGGGAGGAACCATCTCGCCCTTTAAACAACAACACTCTCTCCGAGTGGAGTATGACCACGGACTAGGGGCACCAGAACTCAGGAAATCACGAAAAACTCTCTCTCTCTCTCTCTCTCTCTCTCTCTCTCTCTCTCTCTCTGCGTGAATTCAGCCGACCACGAAAGTGGTGGACCTTAGACCCGTATTTTTGTGCACATTGTTTTACTGCTCAACTCGGATGTCAGCGCAGCAGGCCAATATAGATGTATGCCAGGCGCGTCGCAGCGTAAAGGCTGTTACAGGACAGGAAACAGTAGTGTTTCCTGAGATATCGCAAAGCCTGTTACGAGAGACGTGGTCTGGCGTGGGTACATCTACATACCTTGTAAATTTAGAATTTCATATTGTAATTTTACGAAATACGCCATGGAAAATAATCCCGTAAACCCACGACTATTTTTCACAGGATCACTCACCTGGAAAAATGTTTTATTTCAAGTATATTTTGTACTACAAGTGACCCAAGACTCATTTTATGCTTGACACAGGACGATTTTTCGTTCCGAGTAAGAAAATGTTTTCAATCGAAAGGTCTTACGTCAAGAGTAAAATTGTTCTTAGGTCAAATTGTGTACAAATACGAAAACATTGTTCTCGTTTCTCCAACATTCGTACTTGTCAAAATGTGCAAATTACGACGATTCTGGTGCCACAGCTTATTTCTTGACTATCCCAAAATTAGCCAATGACATATTCGTTCTGACTATTGTTTTTTCGTGTTCATATTTCTGCACAATAGAGTACTAATTCTCTGTAATTTAGCATGAAATCGTGCACATGGTGCTTAGATACACTGACTTCTTCCTAGGACTTTGTGTGCTGCTTTTTCCCCTGAGATTTTCAACATGCTCATGTTTTTTTTCAGAGGGTGGACAGTAGGAGTGGGTCTGCCCTCAATCCCCAAGCAGGGGTGGTAATCCGCTGCACGGGGTGCCCTGTGAGTTCACACCCTCGCTACTAGGACTTTGCCACCCAGGAGCCCGTCGTGCACCATCTACCGATATGACTTTTGACCCACCTATGGTAAGTACCCTGTGTGTAAAAGGCCGCGGAGTGGCATGCATGCACCATGGTTATGGCTTGGGGAAGGGAACTCGTGCCTTGGCCAAGGTGGGTTATTAGAGCGTTGCTTAGCGCTGCACTCCTGCGCCCTCTCTGTGCCAATCATTGAGGCACTTTAGACTCGGCGCCCAGGTCCCGGTGCACACCCTCTGCTCCCCTGTCCCGCGGGCACGGCGGCCGGGCGTCGGGAGGGCACATCGGGGAGCAGCGTGCCGGTGGGGCTTCGGGGGTCGATAGGGGCTGTGGTTAGCGCTGGGCTGGGCCCCGGGTGCCCCGGGCCAGACCGGCCCCGAGGCGGCGCGGGCGGCGGCAGCGCGCGGCGGGATACTTGGGGGCAGTTTTAGCTTTTCTGCTCCGTTGCGGCGATGCCTTGCCCTGCCTTCACCCGAGAACCCTTTAGGTAGGGCACTTTCCGATTCCGCCCCTTCTCTACTATGGACATTGATTCCACTGACTGATAAAACAGGCCTTTCCCACAGAGGATACAGTGCTCCACGTACGGATACATATCATAAAAAGACAGAAACATCCACGATACAAGATACCATAGGCCTATTCCTCGTAAGGCAAACGCCGTCAGGGGAACGACTAAACTCTTCTCTAGTTTCTCCAGCTTGTCAGCTCGCAACTGTGTCGCACAATGCCACAACCTCGTCCGGGCGAATATTTACTGCTTCAAGTGGCGGCCGGCAGCGGAACTGCTCTATGGGCCGGTGGGTATGTCTCCCTGACCTCAGCAGACTAAGGCTTCTCGCCAGCCGCCCTCCCTCTCCCCACCTCCAAATCCGTATGTCGCTATCTGGCACCCCTCTACCACGGGAGCGGGTAGTGGGCAACAGCAGCCTACCCCCTATGGTGAAAGATTTTTTAAAATTTTAATCATGCAAGGGTCAGTTGTAAGGGAGAGCCCCATTGTTTATAAAGCACTTGCTACCTTTTAAAGGCAACATAGCGGGATTATTAAGGGGTCAGACCTGTGATAGCAGATGATACCTTAAATACTTTCACTATACAATAAAGAGCTTGCCCTGCCTAACAATACCGCGCGGAATGGGCCCCTTCCCTACCAACAATACTGGGCCGCCGCCGCCAGCCGTCGTGTCCTCCCCGCCCCGTATATGTCCTCCTCTACGCCATACTAGGCTGCCGAATTGCAAGATTGCAAGCAACCAAGAGATTGCAGCTAATGAGAGAAGATAAGATAATTCATAAATGTGTATCATCTGCTTTCAAGATCGATTCTTGATTGAGATTTTTGAGTACTCCCAATTTGAAATTTGCAAAACCCCCAGGTCAACCAGTAGCGGCAACTTTTAAGAGTAACTAGCAATTGTTTTGACTGTCCCAGATCCATCCGTTGCGCTACAATCGTGCACACCGAGAAGGACTGCATGGTTCCAGTTGAAGGCGAAGATCGGCATGTTCCTGGAGAGTGTGTGTACTGGCGCCAGCGCCAAAATTAGCGTCGTTAATACACCTTTAATCCTAAATCGATGTGGCGTGTAGTTTTTATGTATTGACGATTCTTGCAAACCCTTACATTTCACAGGTCTGGCCCCTGAAATCGAAATGTATGTCTGTCATCTGACCCATGTGACCTATCTTGGGCCACTCTGTAAGAACAAAACGCCAGCTGCTACGCCAAATCCTGGCGAACCACCCGACACTAACGCTTGTTTTGCAAAACTTACTAGGTAGATGTACGCCAGACCAAACAACCTATACAATATTGTACAAGATTTTATAAAAACGTATACAGATCATGTAT